ATCAACAGGAGGCCCAACAGAAGGAGCAGGGCTGGTGGAGTCCTGCCAGAGCTGGGGAGGCTGGGGCTGCCCTGTACTGCATGTTTAGGATGGACATAAGTCATCTCTGTTCTCTTGTTTTCATCCGAGCATGAGATTTAAATGAGCCGAAAAAGCAGCTCTTGTTTGCTTTCCTTTACAGAGTTGTTATTTGAATATTAGATTTAATTGAAACACTTTCATCCAAGGCCTTCATCCCAGGCTGTAATGACACTTTTTGGCGCTTTTTGGGTCATCAGTTTAAGGATTTTCAATTAAAGAGTGGGTACATCTATTAGCTCTTAATTAAAGATGAAGCTTGCGAGAAGTGAACTGAAGTAAATCGTGTGAACCCACTGCTCTTTTCTCTTGTGCCGCCACATTTATGATCTTAAATGGTGCAATTTTTGGCTGATCCCTGAAGTCATTAGCAAATCACTGGATCAGAAGCATCTACAAAGCTAGCTCAAACACCAAACGGGTGCTCCAAACCCACTCAGTGCTCTTCCATATCTAACAGAATCATCAACTCTGAAGAAGCTCAAATATAACTTGTCTTGAATATAGTTCCTTTACCTTAGATGAACATTAAGTATTTGTAACATTTCAAAGGTTGTACCAGTATAAGCAGAAGAAAGGATTTCAATCATATAGTAGTATGAAAGTCCTTCATAAAGTGATGTGAGAATGAGCAGCAGAGGGTTTCATATCAGCAACAACAGATTTCATCCCTTGGAACTGTATAATTTTGATTTGTACTACCGCTCTTGTTCTCCATGAGCTGGGATACAAGAATGACTGAATCGATGAAGGTGGCCCAGGACCCCTCCTCTTTACAACAAATGGTTCGGGTTTAGGATACGGCATTAATCAAACCAATTAGTGTGTGTTGTCACTCCCTTTAGGGATCAGGTATGCCCATGAACAGGTGTATTTTCTGCTTGCACAGCAGATTTCATCCTATTTACTCAAATACTCCTGGCTTTCCTCTCTCTGCTTTACCTCTAGAAATGCAGAAAACACCCACAGGTCATTGTATGGGTTATGCCGATATATTTAAATCCTGAAACAATCCCTCTGAACAGCAGAAAAGAGCATATGTTACATAAAATGCAAAGTAGCATTAGCTTGATTAATTATTCAATTACTTGAGGGGAAGCTGAGATGCTGCACAGGATCCAATATTACAGTAACTAGAGTCCTGTATGCATTACATCACAGACAGGTGGGCTTTTCTTACATGCATTTGCTAATTTGAATTAAAAACTTAAGATACTTTCTAGGAAGTATCTTAAGTTTTCAAATAGTCTAATCTTTCTCTCTCTGTTTGATTTTAATGTACAGCCGATCAGGTCCAAGCCGTTGAACTCGCAGCCAGCAAAGGCTTCCTCTCATACAGGATCATTTTCGGCGACTTAACTCTCTGTGACTCCAGCCTCTTATCACAGGTGACTGAAATACTGTGTAACTGCATCATAAAAGTCACCCAGTCACTTGAAATTGTAAAATATGCTTTACTTTTTACTTCAGTAGCCTCCACTTTGGTGGTCTTTAACTGCTTATGGAGTACTGTACTGCTTCAGTGTAATACTTAAGTCTTATTCAGGCTGTAATTTATACAATCATAACTACTGCAGGTACTCACTTAACATATGCACACACTTTGTGCAGGCACGCACACTTTGCACGCACTGACACTTTGCTCAAGCACACCCTTACACGCACACATCACCGAGACTAATGCTTCAAACCCAGCACTAATCATGCACTGCACTCTGCACACTCGGGCTTTGTGCACACACACACACACACAAACTCAAAATACATATGCTGGTAAGTGTTTACCTTTAGGCACAGCAGGTGTATCACAGTTCAGTCCACAGGGGGTCCATTTATGCCCACTAAGAGAAGTGAAGGCAGGCTTAGCGGTCCTGACTCTGTAAATCTCTTTTTCCACGGGCTCCAGGTATTAGAAACAGAAATTTCACTCTTAGTCCATTCTTTCACGAGGTTTACACCAGTCCCGATCCTGGAGAGTGGCAAGCTCTTTGTTTCAACAAACTAAACTTCCAAACTTGTGGTTTTTCAGTCGCCCACCTGTGTCTCTGTCTAACCAGTCTACAGGTTGCTAAAGACGATGGCTCACCAATTCTCCATCCTAAACTTGACAGAGATAGAGCCTCATCAGGCCGGTAAATAAGCTAACAACTTCCATCAGAATTAGCATCTGTAGCTCTGCTGCTGTTGTTCAAATTCAGGTTTGGATTCAAGAAATTAGATTAGATTGAACTTTATTCCTTTTGGAAATTAAAAATGGATCCAAGGTCAATATGTGATGAACTTAGCTTTCCTTTTGACATATTTTCCTGTTGCTACCGAGTCCAAAGGATGTTAAAAACAGTAAATTACTGCTAAATCTTGTGTAGTCGGCTGTCTTTTAGACTAAAAGTAGTGATTAAAAAGTCCTTTAAATTTCGGTAATGGTAGTAATGTTATTAAATTTAAAGTAACTGTTGAAACTACTTGTAACTTCGTTTGCACCCCAACTATCTTTTGTGTTGAGAGGAGGGAAATGCGCGCATGTGCAACTTTATAACAGGAATCAATGGAGGCCTGAGTTGGAAGCATGTGATCGATCAGTAAATCTAGACATCTAGAAAACGTTCTATCTACGTTTTAATTGGAGCCTATTCATTTTACTAAGTTAGCAAAATTATTTTTTTTTAAAAACTTAAAAAAAAAAAAACATAAACCTCGATCTGACTTATTTTTGAAGAATGTTACCTAATAATGGTCCATCATTCTCCATAACCTGTATCTTGGACATCGTTAAAAAGACAAGCTTACTTTTGTCTAAGTGTGTTTCTATACCACTCTGTAACAGATGTGGATAACTCGATGTGCTGTCTTCCCAACCATCTTGGAGGATATTGGGATCAGGTAGGCAGGTTATGCCCATCTAAAATGAATTTGGAAAACCTCTGGTTCACGATTTCTTTAGTATATTCTTCCGGTGTAGCCTTTGGTTGAAGGTTTAACAAAAATGCTGCACGGCAACGGGCAACTAACTATTAAGGCGGTACGAAACGGGTCATGTCATGAATGGTGGCAAGGCGCCCGGGAGCCCCTTATGAGTGCATGGTGTGAAATCTTCCGCTATTTACTGTCTCACTAATGTGCTCGCCACATAACAGATAAACGATGCACCATGAACTTTAAGCTTCTGATCATATTTTTTGTTGGTAGAACTTTCACCTTTCGCACCTCAAACCAACACATGCTAACAAAAGTTTAAGTTCATTTGGGTAAGTGTGGGCTCTACACCCTAGTTTAGGACACAGCTTTGTCGTTACAGGGCACAGATCCATTACAGAGGTCCTCTTGGGCCTTTTAGTTTGATAGAAACAGAACACATTGCAGGAAAGTGAATGACTAGATCAATATGTTTGTTTTGCTACAGCCTTGGGACTCTGGCCTGTGGGACTTCACATTGCTTGTTTGTTAATTTGTACCTACAACCAAAAGGGAGCACTGTTTAGTTTAAGCACCTCCAGAGCCTTTTTGAGGGAAAACAGAGAAGCGGAAAAAACAATTTGAAAAATAGTTTAAAAAAAAAAGACAAACTTGTAGCTGAATGGATGAATAATAAATCATCTGAACAGCTTGTGGTGCTTCAGTGTGTTATCCGACTGCTGTTTTCACAGAGGGGAAACATTGTAAACTGGTTTAATTAATTGCAAACTTCTTGCCTTATAATGAAGTTGCAGTATTAACTCATTTGCTCTCATTGTACAAAGAGAGTGACTGCAGGCTTCATGGACAATAAAAACAAGCTTGAATACAGACACTGTGTAATCAGGAACTCTGGAGTTAATTAGTGCAAATTGAATGATATTTCATCAAAACAAGCAGAGTGATTTCTCTATTAGACTCAGAGTAGCTCAGCCCCCCTCTGGGTCTGATTTATTTTCGGTAAATGAATAGCAGGGTGTTTGTCTGTCACAACTTCATCATCCAATTTTTTTTTTTTTTTTATTTGTTTGTTAAAATATCTTTTTTTTTCAATCTGACTCAGGACAATCCCCTTTGTTTGGCTGAGTATGCTTCTATCCAATTTCATTATATGATGTTGTGGCTCAGTGGTACAGTTATTCCTCCCTTTATCAAACTCCAACCTTCAACCTGCAGTGGACAAACCAAAGTGCTCCTGGATAAGACATTGCACCCTGAATTTCTCTGTTTTAATGGCATCTATGAATCAGAAAACAGACCCACAAAGTCCTGATCCCTCCAGCTTGTTTGAAACTGTGAGCCAATACAGTTCAGGGTTACAAATTTTAAACTTTGGAGATGAATGAAGTATTTATCCATCTATCTATCTACCCGTGACGAAGAAAAATTAGTACAACTTACTGTCCTAGAGAGATGACAAGAACACTAATTCCTTCTGAGGTGGATGAAGAGAAAACTAGTACAACAAATACTGTCCAAGATAGACGAAGAGGAAACTGATGCCGTCTGAAATAGACAAAGAGAAAACTAAAACCGTCTGAGTTTGGTGAAGAGAAAATTAGTACAACCTATACTGTCCGAGATAGACTAAGAGAAAACTGGTACAACTCATGCCATCCAAGATAGATGAAGAGAAAATTAATACGGTCTGAAATAGACGAAGAGAAAACTAATCACATCAGGGGAGCCTGGGGTCTGAAAGCATGTGACTTATTTCGTTTTCCTGTGTTTTTATGGTGTTCAGGTCAAACACGGACAGACAAAAAAATGTATTTATCTGTTTGTCTTTATTGATTTTAAATCATTTTGTCTTTTGGATTTTAAAGTGTTTTATCTCTTCTTGATTTTAGATTGTTTCAGTCTCTCCTATTAAATTTTTTTATGCATTTCCTTGCATCTGTATAGCACTTTGAATTGCATTGTGTGTGAATGGTGCTATACAAAAAACCTTATCTATCTATCTATCTATCTATCTATCTATCTATCTATCTATCTATCTATCTATCTATCTATCTATCTATCTATCTATCTATCTATCTATCAAGTTGTTTAATCAAAACTGATTTGTGAACACTTATCAGTCTTTTATCACACTTTCTTTTGCTACAAAAAATTTACACCCTTAAACTATGGGTGGATAAGAGCGGTGTTGTGTATTTTGTCCACATCCTTAAAAGCATAAACATTTATTTCTGAGGGTTACGTCCCCAGCAATAGATTACCATCACCAGCAGTTCTTGTTTATGTCACTGACAGACTCCAACTGTTATTGGTGAATGAGAGAATAATTTAATGAAATGAGATGTAATTTTATATTTTATAGAACTCTGTAAGTGTAATTTCTCTCGCTGCACTGGCAGCTATTTATACTCATTACAACCAATTTAGGCCAATTCTGGACTTTTCAGATGGATGTGACTTGTATTGTAACAATATATTTGACAAGAAATTAGACAAACACCATGAGAAATTGGAGGTTTTGCAGTGTCTTGGTGGTAAATTCCTGTTTTTTAATGGGGTCTGTGCCTTTTTTTTTTCTTTTTTTCCAGTTTTGCTCTAGGTTAGAAGTTCATATTAGCAATGCAAAGCAAAACATGCCGACCCGAGGACGCCTTCGCCAGTGTTGACTGGCCTGCAGTCAGCTGACACAAATTAAAAAGCGCTGCTGTGATGTAACAGCTGCTTCTGTATTCTATTATATTTCAGACGGGATCCATACAGATGAGGGAGACACTTTTGCACTGAAAAAAACTTGGATTGCTTCAGTAATTTGAAGTCAGAACACATACAGACTCAGGTGGTTATTTTATGAGTAGTTTAAAACACCAAGTGATGAAAATATGAGTCTAAGCGTCCTTGGTTTTTCCAGTGCTTTTCCATTTCTGTATCAATGAGCAGACAGAAGTACACTCTGCTGATAGTTTCTGCAGAAGGACTTTGGTAAATACACTCTTTAGTTCTTACATTTTTCATTAGAGTCGAGTGTGCAGAGGAAGACAAACAGGCAGCAGTGAATGTGACAGCTGAGGGAGCTCTGTGTTTGTTAGCGGAGGTAAAGCTCAGACAGAGGGAGTGTCGGACTCTTTGAATACTTGATTCAAACAGAGAGGCAGGTGTGGAGTGACAGTCCTGACACAATAATTAGCGTGACGTTTGGGTGTTTCTTATGGTGAGCCGCTCAGAACAAACAGATGTCTCTCTTTGTCTCAGTCACTCTTTGACTCACTCGTCTGTTCTCAAGTAATTGTCTTCTACTGTGAAACTTAAAAGATGTGATAATGTATTCTCAAGTAGATCTGATTGCAGGGAGCAGACATCCCGGTATTCTCCAGGGAATTTTGTCGATGCGTCTCAAACCCATGGAAATACTCTGGTAAACCAAATATGTTTAGCTTTTAAACACTTTCATACTGGTACTAAAGTCAACATAAAAATCCGGCAGCATGAAGGGCCTCAAAAAACAAACAAAAAAATCTACACAGAATATCTTTTATGATCATGGTGGAATATAATATTCCCATCAATATCTGTGTTGGCAGTAGTTTGGTGACTGCTTCCAGACAAACTTATAAAGCAACAAAGTCAACACACAACAGATCAGTGTCCTGTAGTCTCCCACTCTATGAGTCAGGTAAGGCTGCAGCTACAGGCTCCTGGCCGCCTCTCATCTCACAGAGCAGCACATCAAAACTGTTGTGCTTTTACTCCAATTGTTACAAAGTACTCATATGGTATTAAGAACCTTTAAAATTATCGATACCCCTACGTCAACGATAATTTTAATGGTATCCCTGCCAATTCAACTGGCGGGATCAAGTGATAGACAAAGGCTTTTTACAATTTACCAATTTAATTCCCTTCACTCACTTGCCTCTAGGCGAGCTCCTTTTTATTTTGGTTTCAGTAATTAAAAGAAAAGTAACGTGATTTGGGGCACCCACACACTGGCATGATCCATTTTAGGTACCGGTTAACAACCGTCTGTATTTATCCATCACCCGGCAACCTTTGTGCTGCTTACTGTAGTTATCGTGATGCGAATACTCACTCAAGTTAAGACATTTTCAGTCCCCGCCCAATTTGCGTCATTTGCACTGCCAGAGTAAAAGGAGCGTGAGTGTGGAGACCAATCAGACATTAGTGACAAGTACTGGTTTTGTGTCCACACAGAAATTTGGACTCAAGTCACAAACCAATGCGAACTCAGACTTGACTCAGACTTGATCCTCAGAGACTTGAGACTTTACTTAGACTGACGGACAAACTTTATATTTTCTGTTTTTGTCTCATCAAGAGCTCAATATTATACAGCATATGATATCTATAGATTTTGAATCAAAATTGAAAAAATTCAACCGTTGGGGGAGAATCAGAATTTTAGTCCCAGTTCCCAACAGTGCTCAAGACTTGATGCCCAACCACAAATGTGGAATCAAATTTAAGCAATCTGAGTCAATAACCAGCTATTAAACTGACACTATAATCTCACACCAAGCGCGAGTAAAATCATCCGCTTCTTAATTTGTGCGAATTTAGACATGTGAATGAATGGTATTTACCACTTCATTTGCACGTCAACAGTAACTTCAACGGTAATCCCTGCCAATTCATCCAGTAATAAACAAAGGTTTTTTACAATTTACCAGGCAATCCAAACTCCTCACTCACTTGCCTCTTGGTGAGCTCCTTTTTATTCTGGTTTCAGTAATTGAAAGAAAAATTATCATATAATTCCCACACACCGACACAATCAGTTTGTCATCCATTTTAGATACCGGTGAACAACTGTCTGTTTTCATACGTCACCCGGCAACCTTTGTGCTGATTATTTATCGCAACACAGATATCTGCTCAAGTTAAGACATTTTAAGCTCATGCCCAGTTCGCATCATTCAAGCTGCCAGAGTAGTAGGAGCATCTAATTGCGTCATTGCATGGACTTAACATATAATTCATTTGCGCATATGATTTTACTCGCGCTTGGTGTGTGGAGACAGTGAGAGAAAAAGACGGTTTATTTTCTTTAGCTGGCTTGAGTGTAGTTGCTTTGAATATAAACAAAAATTTCCGAGTAAAAAAATACAATTAATGCAAAAAAATGTTTGAAGAAAGAGCTACTTTTAACAACTTTTTGGGGGGTTGCTTCACTGTGTTGAAGCTAAACTTAAGAAACAAAATAGTAGTTTAGCTCGTTGCATGTTTCAGGCATGTCCGTGTCCGTCACTGCCAGGAACACTGCAGCAGAAATGTCACGGCTCTTGAGTTTGTCTAATCCAGCACAGTGACCTTGTAAGAGACAAAGAAGATCATGTAGTCTGACCCCAGCAGAAGATAATGGAAAGAGGCCGCGGTCATTATTAGAGGACTGGACGTTCAATCCCTTTCTGTAACACGTGTGTTTGCAGCCACACAGTGCATCCTCTTCACCAGCCAGACCATCTGCAAAGCATTATGGTTCTAATGCAATGAGTTCATTAAAAAGGTTTATTCAGCATAGACTGGGATTACAGGGCAGTCTAATGCAGTCTGATGCAGATAGACGCTGCACGCTGTCAGCGGGGGAGATATTTTTGGTCTGTTTTGTAACAATCCATCCATCCTGCAGAAAAGGATGTTTTCCTTTATTCATTTATAGACCGCACTATTGGATTTTTTTTGTTTGATCTGAAGCTCTGCTGTGGGTCAGGATGATGGAGAGGTTATGGCAGGTCTAGCTAAAGGAAGATTAAAACCCTTTCCTCACTCTCTCAGTCTGTGAAATGAATTATTTTCACTGTAAGAGTAGAATCCAGACGCCTTCAGTGAGTGGAATTTTTTACTACTGCTGGTATTTTTAGCAGCACCACCTTCTGAAACTCTCCTTTGTGCAGCTTTTTGTGTTAAAATAGATGAAATCAGACAGATGTAGCAGCACTAACAACTTTCTCACATCAGCCGAATCCTGCAGACATCATTAAAGATAATGATGGAGGTTGAAGCGATGGGAGGAACATTATCTCTTTAAAGAAGAGAGGAGGACGGGGTCACATGACCCAGTGAAGCTGCTCAGCAGGAGAGTTAGTGCTGTAACTCAGGTCCAGGGTCTGTTCTTAAAACTGTTTTGTTTTAAATCATGTTGTGTTTTATCCGCTGCTGCATAAAAAGACTGAGACATTCACAAGAGAGGAACAGATTTATAACTGCTTAGTTTTTCATTTTAACTGATCGGTTCAACAGGATCAAGTTCTTACAGGTACTGTACCCGTAGGCTTTGTACAAGAGGAGCACACCCAGGTTTAACAAGGTCCCGATTCTGATCAACAAATTAATCAATCAATCAGTCTTTATTTGTATAGCACTTTTCATACACAACCAAGTAGCACAAAATGCTTCACACAGAAAAAGGAACAAAGAATACCCAAATCGACCCCAGCCCAACCCCTCATTCCCACCCCACGATCTAAATGCAACAGAAACAGTATTAAAATGCATAAACTTAAAAAAGGCTTGATTTCATAGAAACAGGAATGTGCGCAATGAGGAAATGTCATTTTAAAACACTGGAGGTTTAAGTTAAAATCTAAAAACAAAGAAACATAGAATGAAATTTAAGAAATAATAAATAAAATGAAATGAAAACAACAGTAAAAGATACTAAAATAAGAGCACCAAAATGGCTCAATAAAAGACAATCCTGTTATTAAAACTAGAAGAGATAAATGCAAAAACACTGAAACAAAGTTAATGATATAAAATTTAGTTAAAAGCAAGACTAAAAAGGTAAGTTTTGAGTTTGCTTTTAAAATCATTAAGATTAGGTGCAGTCCTCAGGTCTTCAGGTAAGCTGTTCCATAGACGGGGGGCCGTAGTAGTGAAAAGATGCCTCACCGCATGTCTTTGTTTTAATTTAGGCAATGTAAAAAGAGAACTTCCTGAAGACCTGAGGGCTCGACCTGGCTCATAAGGTAAAAGAAGATCAGATAGATAAGCAGGGCCAAAGCCATTTAGAGCTTTAAAAACCAGTAAAGCAACCTTAAAATCTATTGTAAAAGAGACGGGTAGCCAATGTAGAAACCTTAAAATCCGTGTAATGTGATCTCTCTTTCTGGTTCTTGTTAACATCCACGCAGCTGAATTTTGGAGTAATTGCAGGTGTGAAATTTTCTTGTTGGGGAGGCCAGATAATCTATTCTACAAGTGATAAAAGCATTGGCTTGAGAGAGATGCCACAGTATCATCATCTGCTACATCTCTCTTTCTCGAACATAAAATCTAATTTTCTTTGTATTTTGTTTTATTTCTGCATTAAGATTGAAGCAGCTGTCTCTTTAAAAGTTCCCTCCTTCCACAAAAGGCGGGAGGCGGACCCCAGCGCCTAGGCAACCACCGTCCAATTCGAAATGCGCACTGAGTGCTCTCACCTCTGGAGTTTGTCTGTTTGTGGAAACAAATGTGACTCACTCGTAAGCAGCATGGTCCTATCAGATTACTAGGTTACAATGCAGAGTGCAGACTGATGTGCGGCAACACGGTAAGCAAATGTGGCCTAGATACCTTGCAGGGGGGGAAAATTTGCGTATCGCTGCGTGCGGATGTTGTGCCGCAGAATGCACCCCTGCTGTAGAAAACAATATTAAATATTGAGCCCTACTTTTTGTAAAGTTGGGAAATCACCTCAGATCGTATTGGAAAAAAAGCTTCAAGTTTTGCAAATCATTTTCTCCCTATGTAAAGTTTAAAACCATAAAATCAAACATTTAATTTTTTTGGGTGACAGATTGATACATGATTTCAAATTCGATGCCAACAAGAGGTTTCTAAAATAGATTGAATATATGCTGCAATTTTCTTGGCAAAGATTCTTGATGAGTCAACAGCGTTTCCGTAGGTGGGAATTAGCAACTGAAAGGCTGAGATAAACCCAAAAACGATGAGTCACACACACACATGCGAGATAAAACCAATAAAGAAAAATGAGAGGCATCACTTTGTCTGAAAGAGACACTATAATCAACACAAAGTAAAGGTTTCTGATAGCATCTTTAAATCTGCCAGTGGAGAGATAAGGAGTGGGTGAGTGAATCTGTAACCGTCCCAAAATGATGCACCAAGGTTCAACTCTTCAGAGCCCAAATCTCCAAAAGCAGCACGGTCAAGCTCCTGCAGGCAGACTCTGATCTGAAAATTAGGAAGCGATAAATCTGTCTGATTTTTTTTATACTCCTTGGGTGTAGGGATTAAATTTCTGAGTTTCAGTTTGTGCCAGTAGCTGTGATGTGATCTGTGGGTGACCTCAAGTTCAACTACACTTGCAGACTTGGAGAAAAAAATTACGTTTTTGTGTTAACTAAGCTATCCTTGGCACGAAAGCCGTGTTATACTCCATACTTAAAGTGTGTCTTGTGAAGAAAACGAATGTTAACATGATGTAAGAGTAGTTTACTTGACGGTAATAGATTAACAATTGTCTTTATTGAATCTACACATCTTTTAAGTGTTGCTCTTACTAACAGATAATCATTTAAGTTTTCAAAGCCTTATAAAGTACTTAACAGAGCAAGGTTTAAGAGAAGGTCAGCATACAGGGAGTACAAAGGCTAAAAAACAAAGTTATTGAAGGAACAAATTCCAGTTGTCTGACTTCATAAACATTTCTTAAATCCAGTCATGAATAAGATACTAATGTTCTGCTTTATTTTAATGCGGTGCTACTGGGTAATAAATGTTAAATCCTTTGATATGAGAATAAAAAATAACCTCTGCTTTATTTTAATCTTATTTTTTCTTAATTCATAAATATGATAAATACCGGAGCTCACAATTTCTCATTGGGAAAACTGTTAAGAAAGTTCCAGCTGGATAAAGTACTTACATCTATTATTTCTGCAACACAACTTAAAAATTAAACAGAAAAATCTGCTGCAAAATATAAAAGTCTACAGTTAAAATCAAACAGAGATAGACTGTCCTTGTGAGTTTGTGTCTCTTTGTCGTCATTTTGTGTACCTTTTATGGTACTTTACGGTATCCAAATTCATTTTGTGTTTGAAAGTCTTTGACAGCAGATGCTTTGCTTTCCTTACTTTCTACTTTTTTATTGCTATCTTTTCCCTTTTATAGACTTTTGCAGTTTGCTCTAGTTTTGCATTTGAAAGTGACTGTAATGAGCTGTGCTGCACAGAGCTGCACCGTGCACCCTCTTTCTGACCTTGCTTTACTCTACCTCTTGATAGGCACGGCAGTTCTTTTAGATGCACTGAATTGTTAGAATTGGTTCATTAAAAAGATTCGTTCAAAAGATTTGTTCACAGAACCATTCAGCACTTCCTGAACTGATACACAGCTGAACGGTTCAGGATTCAGTTCAATTCAAAGCTTCTGGGACCGGTAGACAAGGGTGTTGTGGCTGTGTTGTTTTGATGAACAGGTTTGTAAAAAATGAACTTGTTTATGAATCATGAGGTTTTAAGTGTACTGCTCAATTGTATTCTTGTTGTCCACTCAGTAAATTGGGCTCAGTGAGTGATTCGTTCACTGAACGTTTACCCCACAGCACATTCAGTGAAGAATTCACACTGAACATCCACAAATTGCTACAATGACAGGATCAGTCATGGATTTCACAAACTGGGTTTTATACACCACCTGTTACATGCTGTGCCGTACTAAATCTGTTAGAACATTGGGGAACCGTGGCCAAATAAGTGAATCCCTCAAACAAAAATGATTCCAGAGAGTGTAGTTCACTGCATGATTTGTTCACCAAGTGATTCAGGCCTCGGCGCGTGCAGTCCCTCGCTGCGTGAGGGAGAAACGAACGAATCACTTGATGAAGTGATTCGGATCAGTATGTTCGCTTAAAAGATTTGGTTCTTTTGAACGAATCATTCAAGAATGACACAACACTAACTCTATCCCCAGTGTCATATGATGTGCTGAATGTTCTGAACACTTTGATGTGAAATCAGTTCATGAGCGATGTGACACAAGTTGGGCTGCCACATAATCAGAGTTTCACCTCATGATTATGATGGCCATAGAATATTACAATCACATTGTTATCATGATATATAAAGGAATAGAAATATGGAAAAAAAAAAAAAGAGTGGAGAAATTTAATTGATGCTCATAATTTTGCAAATCAATAAATTTTTATTTTATTATCTGTTTGTAATTATGTACAAATAAATGACTCATCCACCTCTCAGGCCGTGCAACAGAAACTTATATAAGGACATTTGTCAGTTTGCAGGCAGTCTGCTACTTTTCCATCTCCTTTATTTTATGACAAGCAGAAACCAGCTTTAAAGACCTCAACTATGCACTAACAGAATTTTTTAGCACAAAACCATTATAATATATTTTACTGCAACAGCCCCAGACATAAGTTTTCACAGTTTATAACCTGAGTGAGCCAGCAAAAAGCAGCTTGTTTGGAGAAATGCAACGACCTATTGTGCATAATAACCCAGCTTATGTATGCAGGGGTTGAGTCACAGACAGCCAGACTGATTCAACACCTTGATTATTAGATGAATCGTGATGTCTAGGAACAGACATGATGAACACATTATTTCTCACTCTTCTATAGAAGTTGGAAAGCTGTGATAAAAAGAAGAAGCAATAAAATTTTGTGGTTTATGATTTACTGGTATCGAAACACTATTTTGTTTAAATAGTAGAGAGACAACAATTTAAAAAAGTAAGAAAATAAATTTTTCTTCCTTTATTCATGCTTTTTTTTTTGATAAATGCAAAGTGTCAAATCTGCATTTATGGTTAAAGTAACAAACTGGTTTCTTGAAGTGATGTCGGACCATGTGGTGATTTCCACTACAGAGCCATATACTTTTTGAATGCAGTGCTCTCTTAGGGCTCTAAAATTTTAATATCACATTTCTGCAGCACTAGATATTTCCTTATAATGTGAGGGAAATCACAGTTATATTCGCTGCAGTCTGATGTCTTTATAGAGAGTGGTGTAATAGCTGTATCTGGTTTAAAAAAGTCCTCCTCCTCTTTAGTTAAAAGAGTATTTTCTATAATGACTCAGGGCGTAACAGACTCTAAGATAACAGGAAGTCCAGGTTTTTCACCAGTCAGCAGCCAGACTGTATCACTGACCCAGAACCCTCCACAGCCTCACTCTGCAGGGAAGACAAGCTGAGTTTCCTGAGTACCTATTTTTATCTTTGCTATCTGCGTGTCTGCAGACAGTGAACTCCTCTACCTGAAATGAACTCCTTCATCCGTCCGAGGCTCATTTCAGAGAACATCGACCTCTGCAGAGGTATTTACGTCTATGCTGGTTTTCTTTATTTGACTCTGCAGAATACTGATACCTTCATAAAACACTTCTTTATTCTCTGGAGCAGCTCCTCAGAATCATACATATCAACATTGTTTCTCAGCACCTATCGTCAGAGGTTTACTGCACCAAGAAACTTGTTGAAAGTCATGAAACTTGAGCCTGTGAGCCAGTAGCTGAATAACTAAAGTGAGGAGCAGCCGAAACTTTAAAAATGAAGCTATTATCGGGATGACGCAGGAGTTTAACAATGTGAGTTACTGCAGGACTCAATTTTTGCCAGATTATTAACAGAAATTGGAGTTCCTCTGCTCCAGATAATGAGGATGATTGTAAACCTGACACTCTTTGTTCGGCTTTTATATATAAAACTTTAAGGCCACAGATTTGTCAAATTTAAAGACATTTCACAAAATGAGATTTAAATGTTTCTAAAGTTTCACAGACAGTGACTCAGTCTTCTCTTCCAGTCTGATAAAACAGTTGAAAACTTTTTCTGTTTTTTTAAAAAGTTGCTTGTTCTTCATCACTATGATTTAAAACACAGTATGAAATTTAAGTGATGACGTTAAATGTTCTTTATTCATTCTCACAATTATGTAATGGATCAAACACTGCTGATTTCCAGGTGGTGAAGCTTTGGCCTCAACTCCACCTCTTTACATGATTTTACATTTAGCCTGACGTGAGATGGAGTCAGCATCTCCAATATTGTGTCGCATTGGAATAAATATAGAAGTCTGACTGAGCAACATCCGCCTACACCCCATTTTCCACATCTATAACCTTTTTGGCTTGTTTTAACAAATTTCAAGTAATCACATTTTTCTCACCTGGTGACAGATCCTTTGTTTCTGATGGTGAACTAATAGCCATGTCTTCCTTGCCAATTGACAGATCCTGGCTGGACCCCAAAATGAGGCAACCCATCCCCCTCTTTAGCTCACATTTTCGACCCCTGATGCACTCTACTTACACAGATAATTCCTTTTCAGACTGCTTGTTCTGTTTGCTCTGTGAAAGGCGCGATCTGGGACAGTTATGCATTCATGGTGGGTCACTGTGACTCTATCCAAGTGCCTCCTTGTGTGAACTTGACATGAAATCCTTAGACCTGCAGTGTGTTTGTACTGTGAACATCATATCTAAACTATGAGAAGGGTGTGAAATACACAATTAGCCTGAATCTTTGTACTTGGGTTATACACTGAAAAAAAAGTCATACTACTGCTGAAGGGGACCGTGCATCACTTCCTCACTTCAATATTAGATCTTTGGCTTAATTTCTGTGATAATACTCACTAAATGAAGTGTCAGATTTGAGATGTCTCTTGTCGTAAAGTGTTTTTACACTGTGTCATAAAAAAATGAAGGATTTGAGCCAAATGATCCAAAATGTTATAAAAAAAATAATAAAACCGGAAATAAAATAATTGGTCAATAATGTAGAAAAGGTTCTGAGTGCGAAACATCATAACTTTTTACCCAAATTGGGTAACTTGTTACAGTTTGGGTTTTATTAGGGTGACCATATTCAGACTTTCTAAAAAGAGGACACGACTACGCAGGGGTGGAGTCACAGAGTTTAATATTGAGAGTTTTTCGGGTCGGATAGAGTGTCTTTCACTTTTACTTCTTTCTAACTCCGTGTGATACAAACTCAAGACTTCTGTACAAATCATTTTAAGGATTTTATAAACTTCCCCGGACAAAGCCAGACAAGTCCAAACAGCCTGGACAGCCTCCAAAAAAGAGGACATGTCCGGATAAAAGAGGAGGTATGGTCACCCTAGTTTTATTGCACTTTTTTAAATAACATTTTGAGCTCAACAT